TTCAGCAGAACATGAAGGTCAGAAAAACACCTGTAGATTTCCAGCAAGAGTCTTCCAGATTTAGAATACTGCAGTTCCCATGAACAAGTAAGAGCAGTGCATATTGCAGCAGATTTCTCAAAAAACACTAAGTATTGCTAAGCACAACTCTGCTTCCCAGTAACATCATTAAATACTCAGTCCTCAGCACTTTGGAAGCTTGTCATGGCCAACGATAGAAGCTAACTGATTTGGTCTAACAAAATCAGTTAAAACATCTGACAGCAGATGGGTGGATTATTCTGCTTTAATCAGCTCTGGACAAGAGCTGTTATTGTTGTGCAGAGCTTGTTATTACAAAGCCTTGAATAAACAGAGGTCATTCTGTTTGTGGCACCACGTTCTCAAAGCTGGAGCACGTTTGGAGGCAGTGAACCGTGGTGCTCAATGTGTAAGGTTGAGCTGCTTTCAACCTAACAGGCTGGCAGATGGGGTGCAGGAAACTCCTAGAAGCAGACAAGGACAAGCTTGTAGCATTTGTTTCCAGCGCTGGCCAGTGCACTTTTGTCTCTCATGCATGGGTGTTTGCCAGGAGTTCTCCTGTGCCGGTAACTGTCCTCAGATACAGATAAACCAGCAGAAGTCAGTGAACTGATCATACTTCAGGATGCTACACAGGTATGGTTCAAACAATCTGCCTATAGGCACAGTACCTTGAACTTGATACTGTGCTCCACTGAAGGGTGGGCTCGTCATCGTGTGGTTAAGAGACCTGAGATTCACAGGAATTCACAGAGTAATTGCTGTGTTCCCAGTAGGGAGGAAATAATTCCTGCACTCTCATCCCATAGTACATCATGAAAGAGCCCAAAGTGTTTTATGTAAGACAGGAACTGCTACTGAACTGAAGGGTAAAAAGACCCTGGTATCTGCTTTGTAGAACTGGAGGGGAGTTATTTTATCCTTCCATAGCACACCTATGATCAGAGAGCCCCCAAACCCTCTATAAGCATGGATGAAGATTCTGGACATTCTCCACTCATGATACCACCAGGACTTACTAAAGCAGCTAGACTTCTAGAAATACTGCCTGAAAGCAACCCCCTTAAACTATTTCAGTTGTAATCCAGGACTATATTTAAGTGACATGTGATGTCTGCAGACAAATTGTGAAGAAATGGTAAAATTTCTACCTGGCTTATGCTTGATATTTGCTTTAGAACCACACTTTGAGGACACTTTGGAAAGGTCAACTTTCTTGTTCTGGATCTGCACCTAAAGAGAAAACAAAAGGAAACAACTCAACACAGAGAAGCATTTCCTAGGAATGTGGAAGCCAAAGGGCCATCTCAAACACCAGGTCACACTTAGTGAACCTGTACCCCCTTTCTACTGAATTATTGGCTTCCCAGCCCCTGTGTGCCAAACACTACGGTCAGCTTTAGCATTATTTAAAGGCCTACACCAGCCAGAAGTGATTAATGTGAGCTACCAGAAATTAAGACCAGATAAAACTCACAGATGGACAGTAACTAGAAATGGGAGCCCGGTGTTCATGGCACATTGATGGAATACAGAAGCACTTGGGAGAGGGACCAAAAAAGCCAATCCCATTGTCATGTCCCCCAGACTGTTTCTTCCCAGCGCTGGCTCTGCTTCTGAAGACACAGGCCATTGCCTGGGTTCAGTCACCAGGACAGATGTCATTTTCCAGTTTACTCAGCCACGCTCTTGCTATAGGGCCAGAGACATGCCACCAGTTCCAACTTTTTCTCTCTACCATCTTCAACGTGCAGATGACCCATATCCCATTGTCAGGCTGTTTGCAGCCTCCTCACAGTGGCCTTTCCTCCCTGCTGAGAACAGGACCCAGGAAGAAGCATCATGCCCAAATGGAACAAGCCACTCAAAGAAGCTCTCTTTCTCAAAGACAAAACACCAGGAGTGGGGAAGCTATTCCCTGGTATTATTTCCTTTAACCTCATTCTACCAGTGACTTGATACCGGCACATAAAGCCTTCAACAAAAAAAACCAAACCAACACAGAGTGATGCAGTCATGAAATTGTGAGACTCATGACTCAGTAAATGACCTTCTGCCAAAGTCAATGAGCCAAATATTCTAGCATGATGTCTGTGGACATTGGTTTGAATTTGGGGAGAGGTGTCTTCTCTGTGGCAGGACCAGGTTGAAGTCAAAATGTCACAGGTTGGATGACTTTTTTGCTCAAAAAATATTTCATCTCTGACACCTGGACCACATATGTTGTACAGAGCCACATTTCTGACAGCTTTAAAATTCCTCCTGCAGCTCCAGGTAGATGAAAAATTCCTCTATTCCAGAGTGAACTTCTTGTCTAACAACTTGGAGATCTTTCATTTCACACAAACATAGGATAATTATACCAGAAAGAACTTCTGGTCATCTGGTCTACCTAGTGGACATTATAACTCCATGGGAAAACTGGAGGGGTTTGGAAGTAATGTTAAGAGGTTCATCTCTCTCAGTGGTGTCAGGAACCACCAGCTGGCACCTAAGTGCACAGAAAGTTCTGCTATAAATCATCTTGCAGAGAAAATGAAAATCTTTCTTTCTGAATGGAACAAGAATTCATACACTTACCCACTACTCGAAAATCTTACTGAGAATTACCATGATAATTTGCAATACGTCTTTCACAGGAAGCATGAATCCTCCGACTAATTATGAAGAGGGATGAGTCAAAGCCCTGGTGTCTTGTTTGCTCAGAATTAGAACAGCACAGTTCAGCCTCCTGCTGTTCCATCTTCATGTACCCTGACTCAGTGACACCAGACACTCCAAAAAGGTGAGATCACAGCTACAAAATTTGGTTTTCTTGGGGGCTGCTAGTAAAGTTACTATAGCTTTTATAATAAGTACTTGTTTACTTGGAACTGGAATAAAACTAAATTTATTTCAGAGAGTGCATTTTAAAGTAACGTTTGCTATCAGCTAGGGTAGACATACCCACTTACGACTCCTCAAACTTCCCATTTTCTCTGCAAGATGATTTCACCTGGAGATTCAAACAATTGTATCTAAATGCAAGTGTATTTCTTGTAAAACTGCTAACATTAGTTGTTTTGGGTTTAAAAGCTTGGGCTTGCATTTGTAGACCCAAATACTCAAGACTCTTGTGCCAGAAATAAACTTTAGGTCTGAAAGCTTGATACAGAGGCTCAGATGGGAAGCGTGATCCTCATGTCTCTCTAGATTTTCTGTCTCTGATCATTTCCCAACCCATCTAAGCAGGTCAAGCCAGAGGGCAGAGAAACATATGTACGTTCCAAATCTTCAACAACATGTACATTACCTGTGCTTTGTAAAATCTACCTCTTTACTGTTGCTTTCTTTAAAAAGAGGGGGGGAAATACTAAAACATAACAGAAGCTTTTACCCAGGAAACCTAACTATATGTCAAGATTTCTGGCAAATATAATGTGAGTAGGAACAGTATCTACTGCTTTTGAACATGTCTTTTTGGGTATCTTGGAGGGAAGAAGAAATTACCTCTGTGGATATCAGGCAAAATGGGTACCCAAACAGAATGTACCACCTAGGACCACTTTACTTTGGTAGGACGTCCATCACTTCTACCAGAGCAACCCTGAACCTGAATCATGATTTGCTACTAACCACACCTCTTGTCCACAGGATTCCTAAAAGCTTTAACTGAAGCCACAGACTAGAACAATGGATTTTCCAGACATTCCCATCAGCAGTGGGTTTCACGAATTAAACACTAGGAAGTCTCCTATCAGAAGTGATCATTGTAATTATTTGAACAAGAAAACATCCTGAAAGAAGGCACTAATATTATGGTGCCCCAAAGGGAGCAAGCAGATATAAAAAATGAATAAATGAAAATGCTTTTATAGTAAGCCAGACTGGTCACTGTGTCTTGTCTACTCACACTGGTACTACCTGTGCTGGGTTTGGGGGTGTTGGAAGGCTGAGAACTGTCTGAAGCTGCTTTGGGGGCATTTGGAAGTAGGAAATAATAAGCACTTTATTCTCAAAGCAAAAAGCTTAAGTAGTTGAGCAAGGAGAAAAACTATAGTGGTAAAAGGAGGGTGTGGAATAAGAGAAAATGAAAGCAGGCACACACTTGTCCCCTAGAGTTGGGAATGTTCCCAGGGCAGGACAGTAAAGAGGAAAGGACAGGTTTGGTGATTCATTGGAAGAAAGAATAGTTCACAAGTGTAGTTAATCAAGCAAGAAGAACATCCCCACATTGAAATCACATCTCGGTTGGACTTTAAAAAAAAAAAAAAAAGAAAAGAAAAAATATGCGTTAGAGTTGTTGTACACTAAAAGGCTATACAAGGTAAGAGTGGCAAAATTAAAGTGGCTTGTAAAATACAGCTCCTTCGAGTGCATGAGCAGCAAGGTTACAACAGCTGCTCTTTAACAGTAAAGCGAAAGCAGCTTCTACCACAAACCATGTATTATGTACAGTCTGTTCCAAACCTGGGTGACAAGCCCAGATGAAATCTGCCACAGGAACAGAAAGACGCATAGCTAAAAAAATATTATGAGGACACCTGATTGATGTGATGGTCTCAACATCAGTTTATCTTTCTATGGCACAGAGAAATCTCCTGCATGAGCATTTCTATGGGAAGCTCCATACACATGTGTATGTGCTCCTCTAAGTGTTGGGTAAGTAAGTCATGGAAATGCCAAATAAGAATGTCAAATCCCACCACTGGTGAGAATCCACAAACTGGAAGGGAAGGAGGGCAGCAGGGACACATGCTCAGCAACTCTCAAAGGGAAGTTAAGATTAGTTAAATGAACACTTCATGTGTGACTTCAACATCTGTCTCTTACCACCTGGGCAACCAGCCTGCAGGGAACAAGTTTGGCAAGAACCCAGGTTGCCTCTTGCAAAGATTTAAGGAAGACTTGGTCATATAAGAGTAAAGGTTCAGCCAGCTAGATAAATGCACAGATATTTCCCAGGGCAAGTAGCCACGTCAGTCTGCACCACAGGCAGGTCCTTCATAGCTTTTGTATCTACTGAACCTGACATCAAACAGAACACAGTGACTAATTCACAACAGTGCCTGGCCCCAGAAATTGAGTATTTGAAGGCAGTTTCATTGATGCTGGCTCTCAGGCATTAGGCACAGAGAAAGCCACACCTGTAATACTGAGTTCAGTTTTCGTCCCTGCTATACAACAAAGATGTGGACAGGCTGGAGAGTGCCCAGAGAAGAGCCACAAAAATCCAAGGACTAGGAAACTGTGAGCAAAGGCTGAGAGCTCGGCTTTTTCAACCTACAGAAAAGAAGGCTCAGAGGAGACATTATCACCATGTTCCAGTATTTAAAGGGTAGCTACAAAGATGCCAAACACTCACTTTTTACAAGGAGTAAAACTCCCTTTTTACAAGGAGTTACATGGAAAAGAGGAGGAGTGATGGGCACAAGTTACCCCCAGGGAGATTGCTACCAGACACCAGAGGAAAATGTTTCACAATGAGGACAATCAGTTGGAATAATCTGCCCAGGGAAGTGGTGGATTCCTCATTGTTGGACACTTAAGATTTGTCTGGACAGGGTTGCTGGGCCATTTAGTCTGGGCCATGCTTTACCTAGAAAGACTGGACCAGGTGATCTTTGATTTTCATGATTCTATGAGACGTGATAGCTGAACCTCACTCCACAGGAACTTGGCATATTTAAACATCACTGGAAGAAGCTTCCTTGGGCTAAAGTTCTTCAGAATCTTCTTGAAACCATCCAATCTTTGTATTTCTGCAGACTACACCCAGTACAAACAGCCTAGCATAGATCTGTTAAGGTAGTACAGATTTGTCCACAAGGAAATGAGCCTGTCAAACTATGTTACATTTTCAAAAGCTGTAGTATCTACATATTTGACCCAGTTGGTTTTGCTAGACACTTTCAAAATATAATACTCCCAACCAAGTACAGAGACATTACAACACTGGCCTTCTATTTTAATAAGCACAACCCTGCTGCCAGAGATACAGTAGCCTTTAGATTTAGAAGTTAATTGAAGCTCAAAGATTAAATCCCTGAGTCTTCACCTCCTTTTTTCCTCAAAGTGTCCCTTCTTGTGAAACACAAAGTGAAATTAATCCGATTTGGGTTCTGCTAGCCAGTGAAGAGTAACAGGCACTTCTAGGCCACGATGGATTTCATCTGAAAAAAACAGACATCTGAAACAGGTCAGAGGACTGATGAGGTGCCTCCATTGACTGCAGAGGGAATCCACAGCAAGCTAACTCCTGCGGTCAGTGATGTGTACATCCTACATTTGGTGAGAACACCATGTAAAACATGTGAGAAATAGGCCAGGTGTACGTGTAGCACTATGAAACAAAACACACACATTCAACCTAGCATCCCACCGTGAAAAAATAATAAAGAATTCTCCAGCCTACATTATTTCCAGAAGCCCTGAAACTCTGCTACCCCTTTCTGCCTGAAACAAGAGTGCTCTCAAGGCTGACATATAAAAACACAGTACAAGAGGAGTTAGTAGAAAGACAGCTTGCCCAGAGCCCATACTTACATTCCCACCTCCAGGGACATGCTTAATATTGTCCTTGGAACCACACTTGGACTGAACATGGCTGTAGTTCGCTTTTTTGGAGACTATCTGGACCTGGAATGTTACAGAATGGAAAACAACACAAGGGAAGAGGACTGGTTAAAGTTGTCGTATGGCAAGCTGGAGTGGATGCTCTAACATGGTGGATAAACAAAGAGTTGTGCTAAACTCTATCCAACTTTAGTATTAGGTGTGAAAGCAACTGAGGAGAGTGAGGAAATAAAAGTGAACAAAACAAGAGGCTGAACAGACAGTGTTAGTGCGAGAGCGTAAGCGCTACTGTGAAGACCACTTCTACATATACCCTATGGGTTAGCATCTCCAGGTAGGAGCCTGTCTGCCAGAAGGGCTGGGGTTGTCTCTGTCCCCCACAGAGCTTCCCAGGAGCTATCTGGTGAGAACTTTCCCAGAGGAGGGAGAGCCAGCTCAGCTGCCTCCTTCCTCCACGGCTCCATCTCCAACAACACTATGAACTGCGCTGAGTCTGCACTTTACTTTCACTTGTCTGGATTGGCTCCAGTCTTGGGTAATGTCTTTCAAACCCTCTGGGCAGTAGATGAGAAACTGTTTTTCTGATGAAGGTTGTAAAACTTTCACTTAAATTTTATCAAACAAGTATTACACTAATTGTTTCTCCTTTAAACCAAAATGACTCGGACCTTTTCAAAGTACAAAAGCAGTATGCTAAGTGAGCTTATAGTCACAAAGGTAGTAACTGAGGCCCATGTTTACAAAGGTTAGTTATGACATGTGTTTAGTCTGGGCATTATTTAACACAGCACAGAACGTGGCAGAAGCTATATCCTACTTCTAAAAAGAGGTGATAAATTTGAAGCACAAAAGGAACCACCAGAACATTCTCACTTCAGCAGGCTTCCAAAAGCTCCTTAGCCAGTTCAGAAAGACTGGATTCAGTGCAACAGCAGCTCTGAAAATGTACTCATGCTGTGGAAGCAGAGAGTGGTTTCCTGTCTTCTCTAGAGGTACACGTCCCATCCGTTCATTAACAGGTTCTGCCTGACAATATCTGAATTAAACAAGCACTGCAGGCACTCCCTCCTCATTCCCCATTCTCTCGTGCTGAAATACCATGTCACACCAGCTTCAGAGTAACCCATCAAATGGTGACCGCCTAACGCATGGAGTTAAGGAGTGTTGATACAACTGGGTTGGGAATATTGCAGGAAAAATACTAAGCCCTTAAGAGTCTGCAGTCTTAGAACAGCCAGTGTTGAACTAAAGCTCGCTCTCCCTAGTTACAAACTAGTGCTGTGTATGAAGAACTGGCTGTAAGGGAAACCTCTGACTCAAAATTCTTCCCTGTGAGAGTGCTGAGGCGCTGGCACAGGTTGCCCAGAGAAGCTGTGGCTGCCCCATCCCTGGCAGTATTCAAGGCCAGGCTGGACACAGGGGCTTGGAGCAACCTGGTCTAGTGGAAGGTGTCCCTGCCTATGGCAGGGGGGTTGGAACTGGATGGGCTTTAATGTCCCTTTCAACCCAAACCACTCTGATTCTATGATTCTATGAAAGTTAAGCCTTTCTATCTGCCTAAATGTGAGAATGGAGGATGCTGCTCTGAAAACATTTACACTTACAGCAGGCATGGAAAAGATACCTCTGACAGCGATCTCTGAATGTGTTTAACTGAGAACATTGTAGGATTTACAAGAAAAAAAACGGAAGAGTGTCTGTGCAAGGAACAGTGACACTGACAGGAGAAAGCAGAAGAGTTGAAGAGAAGGGAAAGTGACTCAATATGGAAATGTTGTCCTTCATCTCCCACAGAGAAAAGTCTGAAATAAACTCACTTTCCCATTGGGCTGTTTTGGGGTACCCTCTTTTGATACGGTTGTTTTAGTAGTAGCCATTTTAGAGACCACATTGGGTTCAGACTTGCGTGCAGCAGCGGCTGATTCTGGCCTTTTCTCTATTTTCCCCTAGATGGAGACAAATGGATGATTTCAACCAGCAAAAGCAAAACTGTGGGCAGGAGAGTACGGCAACACAAGCTACCCAGATAAACCTAGTGGAGCAGATGACCCAGGAAAACTACTTACATGCTGTAAGTCTCAGGCAAAGTATAAGCCTGTGCCCAGGAACAATAAAACTAAAGGCGTGGAAGGGAAGCAACATCACTCAGACAAAAGGATGAGAGAGGTACCGTGGGGTCACAAAGCAATAATTAAGTTCTCAATTTCTCAAAAAGTCTCTAGATGTCCTTCCTTGGCATCTCATTTCCCCAACGGTCACACTGGCAAGTCTCCAAGTGACCCCAGTCCATTATATTCTGCCAAAAAATTAAACCAAATCTTTTAGTAACCCAACGGCAGCGCAGGACAACCTCCTTCATAGGGAGGACGTTGTACAGATCTCAGAGGCAAACGCACACCACTGGCTGATGTTCTTTTGCCTTTGAGGTCTGAGAGGTCAGCTGGATACAGATATACTGCCCTTCCTCTTCTGATTTCACACCCCCACACTGATTTGACTCAGTCTTTGAGATCAATTTCTGATATAGTTTTTAACTAATCAAATGCCAGTGGACCTACTAATCCAGCTAAGCAGAAAATTGAAAACTTAGAGGGTTTAGAAAAATTCAACAACTACTTAAGAATATCCATTCTTCTGCTCATATAGATCCATATAGGTGCAGCAGAACCTGCATTTTTTGTGGGCTCGGCATAAATCCTGTAATTTCACTAGCCTACCAGCAATAGAACAGGAAACAAAAAACCCTCCAGCACTTCTATGACATTTCCACCTTCTAAAAACATCTCAGCATAAATAAGACTACAAAAAGGACCATTTTCTTTAAAGTGCAATTGTTAGGATTTAACAATTCCATGAAAACAAGTAGAAAATAAAGTGTACTACAATTTAATGTAAAAATAAATTCCCTTAAACTGCCACAATAACCCTGTAAGCTAAGCAGCTCTGCAATCCTCAGTCACTGACACAGTTTAAAACAAGAGAACAACCTTCTCTATTCTTTTTGAGCAGATGGCAGAAGGCTTTCTGAACTTCTGTTTGCTTTCAAGCTACACTACACAGTACAGGAAAGGGTCTCCCTCCTGCTTTTCAGCAAACATTGTTTGTCATTTCCAGAAACTCCATTTTGAAGAGTGGAAGTTTCTGTCTAGATGCCTAAGCTCTGAGAACTGTACTATGATTCTCTTTAACTCCAAAGAATAAATCTATGCTATATTGATGCTGTCTGTGACACACACCACCACAGCCCACGGATGCCCTTGACTTTAATGTGCGTGAGAGGAGATTAAGGCTCCCAGCATGAGCCATGCTCTCTTGGCATGAGACTGAAGTTATTCATTATCACAGACCTGCAGCAGAGATAAGTGGGCAAATCTATTCCACTTTGTGGAAAGTAAAGCCCCCTGACTACAGGCAAGCTGCTAACACATTTAGTCAGGCAAAAATGGGTGTATCTGTTATACAATATCCAATAAAGGTTTTATGATTATGCATATCTACAAAACTATTTAAACCCTCAGAGAAGCAGTACCGGTATATCCCTAAACCTTTACCACTTACATGGTAGACATTCACAGTGAAAGTGTAATTTAAGACCATTACTGATTGAGAGCCTCAAGTTCTATCTATGTACATGCTTCTCCCTACAGCTCATTCAACACCACTCTCTTCTTTTCCTGCAGCCACCAGAGGTTATCCAAAAAGCCACACATAGAGACCCATTTAATTTCAGCTTTAGGCCTGACAAGTGGAACAGCTCCCCTGCTCCTAGACCTGGAAAAGGTGCTGTAGAACTTGCTCGTGAATCCAGATTTCCTGCATTGTAGTGCATTAATCCACCTCCCGTACCATTCAGCAGATTCAATCCCTCTATTCAAAGGCAAGGTTTTGGAATATAGACAAGATTTTGAGCTGTCAATACCAACCAGTTCCTATGTCAGGAAGTACAACAGAAAAACAGAACTACAGAATTTTGAATTCCTGTACATATGCCAGTAAACACCATGAAGCTCTTAATTAAGGCGGATTCCTTCTGTACGCTACTATCACTGTTTGTTAATGCCTTGTGCATAAACCAAGAACCCAAGAAAGAGCTCTGCAGAGCATAAATGAGAAGAGTAGTGAGGATACAGCCACCAAAATTAGCAAAGAGCACCCCTAATGCTTAAGAGCTACTGTTCCAACACACAGGTTGTTACCAAGTTTGAAGAAACATACCTTTCCTCCACCAGGCTGATGTTTAATATTATCTGTTGATCCAATTTTGGAACGTACATTTTTCAGATCTGGAGCAGAAGCACTGCTGGCTGGGCGAGGTGGCTTGGAAACGATGCTGGGTTTAGCTGGAACCTTAGCAGCTGGTTTTTTAGCATCTGCTGTTGTGGCAGAGGTTGTGGTGGGTTTGGTTGCAGCAGGCTTGGGTTTGGGACGACTGGTGGCTACTCCGGGTAAAGCAGGTGCGCTGGAGGAGGTGGTAGGAGTGGTGGCGCTGCTTTTTACTGCATTTCCAGTAGCACTCTTAGGGCGGCTCAAGTCTGCTGCAATGATCACAGCCACAGTTGGAGGGAAGGGGGAAAGAGATGGGTCAAAGGTATACAAACTTCCTCAGAGTCCTAAAGATGTACAGTGGCCTGCTTAATCAACAGAGCCCTTAACGGGAGAATCTGATTTAGATGGAAACTGAACAGTTACCTGATGGTGACTTTGCGGTGGTCTTCTTGGCATCTGCAGGCTTTGCATCAGTCTTGATGGCTGCCCAACACAAAACACGCTGGTCAGTATTTCAGAGCAGAAGCCAGTCTGCACAGATGACAAGCCTGGGGTCACACAGCTTCCCCTGAGGTCAGGGGCTCTCTGCAGCTCCTCACAGACCAGTGGTCCTCTCTACTCACAAGCCCCATTTCAAACATGATGCTTGAAAGAAAGAATTAACTACTCTCTTCAAACACCTGTCTGAGGTCCTCCTTGTAATTGCAAATCCCACTCATGCTTTCCAGTAAAAAGATCAATTTATCTAAAGAATTATCACTCAATTATGCCAAACACCTGGGGTATGGTTTACATTTCACAGAATCCTAGAATCCCAGTTTGGAAGATGGCCCGGCACCCTGCCCAGCCAAACAATCAAAGGGGATTTTTTAAATAATAAAAATAAAATAATTTCTTTAAAAATAATTTCTTAGAATAACTTGCTGAAACAGACACTAAGATTACTTTAATCTCACCGCACATTCTTAAAAAAAACCAAAACCAACAAACACCCCTCCCCCCCAAAAAAAAACCCCAAAAATCCCCAAGAACCGGCACCCTGCCCAGCCAAACAATCAAAGGGGATTTTTTAAATAATAAAAATAAAATAATTTCTTTAAAAATAATTTCTTAGAATAACTTGCTGAAACAGACACTAAGATTACTTTAATCTCACCGCACATTCTTAAAAAAAACCAAAACCAACAAACACCCCTCCCCCCCAAAAAAAAACCCCAAAAATCCCCAAGAACAACCCACCAAAAAAAACCCACCAAACAAACCAACCCCCAAAACGCAGCTCCTTTCTTTACCAAATAGCAAAAGCAAAACCCCTGTTGTCCTTCTATAACCTTAGTCTCATTGCTACATCAGTTCTAACCCATGCCAATTTTCTTGCACAGAAGTTACTGCACATATTTTGGTTCCTATTATAATTGTATAAGACCAAAAATCAATCACTAAACTGAACTATGCCTTTGGGCAAACTGTAATGATCATGACCTGATTATATTCCACATAGGTAGAGGACAGTCTAAACCAGGAGCACATCTATATTTCTCAGAGCAGAAGAAAACCACACACAGCATTGATCAAGACAAAAACTACATACTGAAAAATATAACCAGAACCTTATTTTAAGTTCTTTGACAATTAAGTTGTAGCTTTTTACTATTAGTGATGAACAACCCTAGCTAAAATCTGTTTCATTTCAATAGCCAAAGAAATGCAACATTAAAAGCAAACAATAAATGGAAAAATCTGAGTTACAAATTATGAAACCCTCTGTCTTCTAATATTTAATTTTCATTAACAGTCTTAGATTTTTAGATAAATCCAAGTAGCTATCAGGGTACTTTATGGAATACCAATACAGAATAGAGTAAGCGAAACAGGCAGATAACTACAGGCCAAGTTAGTCTGGATCACTCCATTCTGATTTTGCTAAAAGCATTCAATTAAACACCACAGATAAGATACTAGCTAATGAGATGAAACACATTTGGATAATTTAATAAGGCCTGAAGGATAGCTATATAATTAATACTGAACACTTCAAAAAAGGTCCTCTCAAATCAACCTAATTTCATTCCTTGAGACCACAATTTTAATTGGGAAAACTGTACAGACAGAACAGACTTTGTTTTACGTAAAGGCAGGAGGACTAATATGTTACTTTAATATAGAGATGTTATTGCTACTGTGTCAGTGGGGAGCCAAATGCTGGAACATTTTTGTCTGTGTTATTAGCATGTGAGGTTGAAAACCTGGAGAATGATAAAGCTACTGGGAAAATGGTTAAACACTTTGATCTTCTTCTGATCTGGAAGACAAAGAGCTGGTCCCGTACAAACATAAAAGTAATTTTCACAAGAAAAGGGGGGAACTAGAAAGAAATAAATATTTTTAATTAAATAATAAAAAGCAAGCCCTACATAGCCCATGACAGTAATTTATTAGAGAATGACTGACATTTAATACCTGAAAAAGTGAAACCATATCATTTCAAAATAAGCTACTATACACGTATTTTTAAATAGTGAGAATGACTAAACACTTGAGCACACCATGAGGAAGTGCTTATCTCTTGACACGTGAAAAGAGCAGATGGCCTTCTGAGATCCCATCTTTATCTAGAAACATATAATCTGGCCTAATGCAGTGTCATGAGAAACTGAACTGCGCTCTGAAGAGATCCAGGTCTCCACCACCTCTATCTATGCATCTAACTGAAGTTGCACATGCTCCACCTAAACTGAATTGTGTTTGGCTCATTATGATTCTCCTTTAGGCACCCCAACACTGTTCACCCTCTGTCACACCACTGCTTTCTCCTTGTTCGAAATAAGGCTCCCTTCTTTTACCATTCATGACTCCTCTGTGTTTCCAGATCCAGACAAAGCAGCTTCAGCTCCTGATGGGGTTTCTCCAGCTGACCTCATCTCTCCCTTGCCCACCCAGTTCTCATTGTACTTTGGCAATGTCCCACGACCCTCGCTGGTGCAGAAGCCTCTTCATCTGTACGTCTTGCCACTTGGAACACCCTTCCTGCCTCTCTGCATCATTGCTTCCATCTCTTTTCAAATGTCATCAGAAAACGCTTCTTTGTTTGCACCTCAATTTTGGAAGGAAAATTAACTGAACTCATTAAAACATATTAAGCATTCTGGGCTACGATTTGCATAAAAGACTACAAAAAATGTATTTTACAAGGATGTCCACAGGATCAGTGAAGTTCTATGGCTTTTGGAAGGTGCAACACTTCCTCTGCACTTGATTAATTATATCTTCCCCTAGAGCACAAAGTATGGAATGTACATCTAGCCTGATATATTCCAACATAGTTAAAACATTAGTATTCTTTTGGGAAAGACGGATTATGAATTCATGTTTTGGGACTCAAAGAACAAAACAGCAATACGTATTATTAGTTTTACATGTTTATTGGCAAATTTTGCCAATGAGGTCTAGTCACTGGAAAAGACTTGAGAATATATAACTATATTTTAATCTGATGTTAAATCTCTCAAGCTCCATTAAAATCAGTGAAAACGATGTTTTCAAGATGCTAATATGCTGCTTATGTTTCACACTGACTGTGTTAAACTCATGGGAAGTCCTCTTTTTTGGGGTGGGATACAGTTTTCTGATGATGCTGATTGTGATTTCCACTCCAAATTCTTTGTGCACTAGTAAAAAACCTCCACTTCTGTCCAACCTTATTTGTTCTTCAGATGCACTAGTTTGAGTACTTCAAGTTCTTTTCTGGAGATTTGCTTTCCCCAAGTTTTAAATTGGTTTTAGTGTTTATTCTATCTGTTACTATGGCAAAATTCAGAGGTAATAGCATCCTTTTTCTTTAATCAATCACATTCAGTAATTGTATTTACCCTGAATCACACAGAGCTGATCCAAGTTGTCCTTGAAGGTCATTCAGATTTGTTTTAGGAGAAGGAGGCCCAGAAGAGAAAAGAAATCTGACCTACAGTCTCTGTGCCTTGGCACAGGATCTTGTGTTGTGTTAAAAGGATTGAGGTTTCAGCTATCATTGAGTTTCAAGTCAACTCCTGACTGACAGGTAGGCCAGGCTACACCTCTCAGAAGTACTGCTTAACAGCAGCTATGGCTTCTTATAAATAGCTACATGTCAAGGTTGAGATTTTTTTTTCCTCCTTTTGAATCTGAAGATCACAAGCTTGTTTATCAGGAGACTAATTCTAATAAACTGATGAGGCCACAGGATGACCTAAACACTGGAATACATGAGAAAGACATCATAGAGTGAACCAATGGTGCTACTCAAACAGAAACCTGCAGCTGAAAGAAAGCTCTCTCAAAGAAAAACCAAGTCAATACTTACATGTTGGCCTCTTCGGTGGAGAAGTAGCAGTATTTTTCGCAGCAGTAGCTGCAGCAACTGGTGATGCTGCTGTTGTCTTAGGAGCAACAGGGCTGCTCCTAACAGTAGTTTTAGAAGTGGCAGATGTTGGAGGCTTTGAAAGTGAGGTCCGCTTATCTGTGGTCTTTGCATCTACAACCTGAAAACAAACAGGCTACATTAAAGGCAGTATTTCACTGACAGTCTCTTCAAAGTGTTTGCCAACAAGAAGCCTGAAGTAAATTGAAATGGTTTAAATTCTTAAATGCATAAGCTAGGCACTGCTGGAACAGTATAATGCGGATTAAAGAATATAATTAAGGCATGCAGAAGTGACTATGTTCAGTACAGGTCACAGCACAAACCCTGCTGAGTGTTAGAATTCACCAATAGTTTCAGAATTAACGTCTGGAGGTCGTTTACAGATGTGAACAAGGTTTTGTTTTCTGAACAAAATGGAAAAGATCAGTCCACTAGCAACAGTTTTGAGAGAGATTTCTTTCCTTCATGAGTAGAAATGCTTCCTAAGCGAAGGAGGCATTCACTAAAACACTGTGAATGTAAGAATTAGGTGTCTGTGGTTCATTCATCAGTTGGAAAACTCTTTCATGTCTGTCCCTGGTAAGTCACCTGTTTGTAAACTGACTGATCTCTGAAGTATTAAAATACTGAGTTAATGTACAGAAACAAATGAGATGAGATTTTGATTTCATCAAAAAGGGATTCAAAATCCTGCAAAAACTTAAACAAAATCAAAGACACTGGTACACAGAAAAAGTGCAGATTTATGCCTGTGCTTTCATACCCTTTTTGTTATTTTCATTTAGTTTTAAAATACATTCAAACACAGTTATTTCAGCTTTAATGTCTAGCAGAAATGCTAGAGCATTTAAATATCAGCTGAAAGCTTCTGAAACATTTTAACATTCCCTTTCAAATTGAATTCTTTTTCTTTATAAAATCACATGTTGATGTGGAGAATACTGAAGGGAAATTTTCTGCTCTTAACATTTCATGTTAAAGAGTAAGCTTCATTAGCTTTAAGATGCAACACTAGGAAATATCCACAAATCTGCTCTTATTGGAGAATTACAAATCTCCTGTATTTCCTAAGCACGTAAGTGTATTATTATCAGTTACCTTTGTACAGTTTTTATAATGACTAGACATCATAAAGAGACAATAAGGGGGAAATACTGAAGTGTTCAAACTGATTTTTTCCCCCCTCAATATTAATATCGAAGCTCTCCATTCAGTTTTCCCATGCTCTTGTCTGGATTTAAGAGTTATCCTTTGTAGTGCATCTGTATTTAAAAAACCCTCCTCTTTTAGTAATGGAAAGAAATCACAGAATCAGAGAGTGAACTGGGTTGGAAGGGACTTTAAAGCTCAATTAAATGTCTGGGACCGGATGCCGTAAGTGGGTTAAAGGAAGCTGATACTAATAACTGTGAGGCTCTCGTAACACCGCGAATCACATTCCTGATCTTATCCTCCAATGATTAGCACTCCAATTATGTTTTGACTCTTAAGTAAGAAAGCTCGTAATTTAACATGTAAATAAATTCTCAGAGCTCCCACACAAAAGTAAGTAGTTTCTTACCTTTGGTTTAGTCTCTTTTGGAGCTAGGGTGGAGGGACGTGTAGTGCTGGTGGCTGGGCGTTTAGTAGTAGTGGCTGAAGTAGGACCTGCAGTAGGGCTCGTGGGTTTTTTGTTTAGGCCAGGCGTGGCAGAGGGTGGCCGCTTGGGGCTGGTAGCGGACAGGGGCCTGGCTTTCGTTGCTGCAGGCTTTGTAGATGACGTGGATGTGGCAGGCTTTATGTTTTATCAAAAAGCAAAATCCAGTATAAAACCAAACAAAAAATACAACAAAAAATAGCGCATTGTAAACCAAAACATTGAGCTGCAAGAACATAAAAATGATTTTTTAAATGAAACAACAATAAAAAAAAATTAGCTTTCTGTTTTCTGAGCATAACAAAGACCAAAATGAAGCAGCAGAAGAGGCTGTCTTCAGGGCCCAGGGAGGCTTTGCCATTTAATTCAAAGGGAACAGGATTTATTCCAGCAACATCTAAAGCAACAGAAGGAATCACTGGTAAAGCTGGGATTAGTAATCAGTTGTTCTGGCATCTAGTCCGACGTGCAATACACAGGACATTGCTTTCCAATTACATGCACACAGGGATTGCAAGCTCTGAATCCTCATCTGATCAACTCCAGTGGTCAAACATCCACTGCCTTTGAGGGGACCAAGAAACCTTTCCCCCTACCAGCGCTCTAAGAATTTGGAATTAGATTTTGCTGAATGCTGCAAGCAGGTATTGCTCATGTTTCATAAACAGCCCTAAAATAAAGAGAACATCAGATCCTGAGCAGCATCTTTGCATGCTAATTGTAATGCAAATAAATATGTTGTAAACAACTAGGAGAATATCAGTGTAGCAGAAGTGTTAATATATGTGTTTACTACTTCTACACCACCAATACCAACCAAAGCATTAATTTAAACAAAGCTTACCACATATTTACTAAATCCACTCTCACGTCACATTGGCTACAGGCTGAGTTGTTTGCAACTTCATAACTGGATGCCTTTGTTCCAGGAAAATAGTTCACAAACAGCAGCTCAGAAAACAGAACTTGTGTTGCCACAGCTTAAGAAGCAGAAAAGCCAGCAAAAATAAAAGCCATGGAAACAAAGATGTTGAATGTGAAACAACACCTACCTTTGTCTTCTTCTCAGGGCTGGGAGGAAGCTCTTTGTTGGGAGGTGCTGTGATATCGTTCCCTGTCACAGCTTCAACTGGTTTGGTCTCTTCTGGCTTTGCTGGGGATGGGGAAAAGAAAAGGAAGGGAAACTTTGTAAGTCTGAGCCTTTTTTTTTTTTTTTTTTTATGATGTATTTTTTCTTAGTTTACTGTTATTCAAGACAGTAGCAGGAGACAGACCTGAGACAGGTACAAGGTTGGCTATTTCTGGAAAATTTTCCCCAAACCAGAATACCTACAGGAAGAAAGATTTTCCCTGTAACAGGTTAGGTTCATCCACATACCATTAGCATCCAATTTCTCATATTATTCCAGTGAGAAAAGACAGACAGCAGATGAAGGAAACCTCTGGTTTAATTAAAATAGCAAACTTTTCCAGCTTTCAAGTTATTAATGAATTTATTTATTATTTTAATATTAATTTAATAATATTAATTTATTTTATTA